TAATGATGAAACCTAAGAATAATTGGTGTTCCCAAGGAAGAAGAGAAATCTAAAAGTTTGGAAAACATATTTGAGGGAAAAATTGAGGAAAACTTCCCTGGCCTCGCTAGAGATCTAGACATCCAAATACTTCTTGCTCAAAGAACACCTGGGAAATTTATTGCAAAAAGATCATCACCTAGGCACATAGGCATCAGGTTATCTAAAGCCAAGACGAAGGAAAGAATACTAAGAACTGAGGCAAAAGCATCAGGTACTATAAAGGAAAACCTATCAGACTAACAGCAGATTTCTCAGTAGAAACCCTACAGGCCAGAAGGGATTGAGGTCCTATCTTTAGCCTCCTTAAACAAAACAATTATCAGCCAAGAATTTTGTATCTAGTGAAACTAAGCTTCATAAATGAAGGAAAGATACAGTCTTTTTCAGACAAAGAAATGCTGAGAGAATTTGCCACTGCCAAGCCAGCACTACAGGAACTGTTAAAAGGAGCTCTAAATCTTGAAACAAATATTTGAAATACACTAAAATAGAAACTCCTTAAAGCATAAATCTCACAGGACCTATAAAACAGCAACACAATGAAAAAAACCCAGGGTATTCAGGCAACAAGTAGCATGATGAATAGAATAGTACCTCACATCTCAATACTGATGTTGGATATAAATGGCCTAAATGGTCCACTTAAAAGATACAGAATGGCAGAGTGGATAAAAATTCACCAACCAAGTATCTGCTGTCTTCATGAGACTCATCTGACACACAAGGACTCACATAAGCTTAAGGTAAAGGAGGGAAAAAAGGTATTCCCTGCAAATGGATACCAAAAGTGAGCAGGAGTAGCTATTCTCATATCAGACAAAACAGACTTTAAAGTAACAGCAGTTAAAAAAGACAAAGAGAGACATTATATAATGATAATAAAAAAAATTGTCCAACAGGTAAATATCACAATCCTAAATATATATGCACCTAACATTGGAGCTCCCAAATTTATAAAACAATTACTACTAGACCTAAGAAATGAGATAGTAACCCAATAATAGTGGGGGATTTCAATACTCCACTGACAACACTAGACAGGTCATCAAGACAGAAAGTCAACAAAGAAACAATGGACTTAAACTATACGCTACAACAAATGGACTTAACAGATATTTACAGAATATTCTACCCAACAACTGCAGAATATACATTCTGTTCATCAGCACATGGAACATCTGCCAAGATAGACCATATAATAGGCCACAAAACAAAAAAATTAAAGAAAATTGAAATTATAGCAAGAACTCTCTCAGACTACAGTGGAATAGAATTGGAAATCAACTCCAAAAGGAATCCCCAAAACTGTGCAAATACATGGAAATTAAATGACCTGCTCCTGAATGATTGTTGAGTCAACAATGAAATCAAGATGGAAATTTTAAAATTATTTGAACTGAACAATAATAGGACACAACCTATCAAAACCTCTGGTATACAGCAAAGGCAATGCTAAGAGGAAAGTTTATAGCATTAAATGCCTACATCAAAAAGTCTGAAAGAGCACAAATAGACAATCTAAGGTCACACCTCAAGGAGCTAGAGAAACAGGAAAAAAACAAACCTAAACCCAGCAGAAGAAAAGAAATAACCAAGATCAGAGCAGAAGTAAATGATATTGAAACAACAACAACAACAACAAAAAAAAAACCCTACAAAAGATAAATGAAACAAAAATCTGGTTCTTTGAAAAGATAAATAAAATTGATAGACCATTAGCAATATTAACCAATAAAAGAAGAGAGAAGATCAAAGTAAGCTCAATTAGAAGCGAAACAGGAGATATTACAACTGATACCACAGAAATACAAAAGATCACTCAAGGCTCCTATGAATACCTTTACACACATAAACTAGAAAACCTAGAGGAGGATGGATAAATTCCTGGAAATATACAACCCTCCTAGATTAAACCAGGAAGAACTAGAACCTCTGAACAGACCAATAACAAGCAGCGAGATTGAAATGATAATTAAAAAGTTACCAATGAAAAAAAAGTCCAAGACCAGAGAGATTCACAGCTAAATTCTATCAGACATTCAAAGAAAAATTGGTACCAATCCTACTGACACTATTCCAAAAGACAGAGAAAGGGAATCCTCTCTAAATAATTCTATGAAGCCAGTATCACCCTAATAACAAAACCAGGAAAGGACATAACAAAAAAAGAAAACTACAGACCAATGTCCGTGATGAACATAGATGCAAAAATCCTCAACAAAATACTAGCTAACGAAATCCAACAGCATACCAAAAAGATAATCTGCCATGATCAAGTGGGTTTCATACCAGGGATGCAGGGATGGTTTAACATCTGCAAGTCAATAAATGTGATACACCACATAAACATAATTAAAAACAAAAATCACAAGGTCATCTCAATAGATGCAGAAAAAGCATCTGACAAAATTCAGCGTTGCTTTATGATGAAAACCCTCAGCAAAATCAGCATAGAAGGGACATACCTTAAGGTAATAAAAGTCATTGAGGACAAACCCACAGTCAACATTATACTGAATAGGGAAAAGTTGAAAGCATTTCCCCTGAGCACTGGAACAAGATAAGGATGCCCACTTTCACCACTCCTATTCAACATAGTACTGGAAATCCTAGCCAGAGCAATCAGACAAGAGAAAAAAATAAAAGGCATCTAAATTGGTAAAGAGGAAGTCAAACTTTTGCTGTTTGCTGATGACATGATCATAAACCTAGAAAACCCTTAAGACTCATTCAAAAAGCTCCTAGAACTGGTAAATGAATTCAGCAAAATTTTAGGATAACAAAATTAATGTACACAAATTAGTAGCCCTGCTATACACCAACAACAACCAAGCTGAGAATCAAACCAAGAACTCAACCCCTTTTACAATAGCTGCAAAAAACAAAATACTTAGGAATATACTTAACCAAGGAGGTGAAAAACCTCTACAAGGAAAACTACAAAACATTGCTGAAAGAAATCATAGATGACACAAACAAATGGAAACACCTCCTATGCTCATGGATGGGTAGAATCAATATTGTGAAGATGACCATACTGCCAAAAGCAACCTACAAATCCAACATAATTCCTATCAAAATACCTCCATCATTCTTCACAGAACTAGAAAAAACAATCCTAAAATTCATATGGAACCAAAAAAAGAGCCTGCATAGCCAAAGCAAGACTAAACAAAAAGAACAAATCTGGAGGGATTACCCTACCTGACTTCAAACTATACTATAAGGCCATAGTTATCAAAGCAGTATGGTATTGGTATCAAAACAGGCATATAGACCAATGGAACAGAATAGAGAACTCAGAAATAAAGCCAAATACTTATAGTCAAATGATCTTTGACAAAGCAAACAAAAACATAAAGTGATGAAAGGACACCGTATTAAACAAATGGTGCTGGTATAATTGGCAAGCCACATGTAGAAGAATGAAACTGGATCCTCACCTCTCACCTTATACAAAAATCATCTCAAGATGGATCAAAGACTTAAATCTAAGACCTGAAACCATAAAAATTCTAGAAGATAACACTGGCTTAGGCAAAGACTTCTCATGACCAAGAACCCAAAAGCAAATGCAACAAAAACAAAGATAAATACATGGAACTTAAACTAAAAAGCTTTTGCACAACAAAAGAAATAATCAGCAGAGTAAACAGACAACCCACAGAGTGGGAGAAAATCTTCATAATCTATACATCCAACAGAGGGCTAATATCCAGAATCTACAAGGAACTCAAACAAATCAGCAAGAAAAAAACAAATAATACCATCAAAAAAGTGGGCTAACGACATGAATAGACAGTTCTCAAAAGAAGATATACAAATGGCCAACAAAAACATGAAAAAAATGCTCAACATCACTAATTATTAGGGAAATGCAAATCAAAACCATAATGTGATACCACCTTACTCCTGCAAGAATGGCCATAACCAAAAAAAAAAAAAAAACAAAAAACAAAACAAAACTATAGATGTTGGCATGGATGTGGTGAAAAGGGAACACTTTTACACTTTGGAGGGAATCTAAATTAGTACAACCACTATGAAAAACTGTGGAGATTTCTTAAAGAACTAAAAGTAGATCTACCATTTGATCCAGCAGCCCCACTCCTGGGTATCTACCAAGAGGAAAAGAAGTCATTATATAAAAAATATACTTGCACACGCATGTTTATAGCAGCACACTTGCAACTGAAAAAATACGGAACCAGCCCAAATGTCCATCAATCAACAAGCAGATAAAGAAAACGTGGTATATATATATACCACAGAATACTACTCAGTCATACAAAGGAACAAAATAATGGCATTTGCAGCAACCTGGATGGAATTGGAGACCATTATTCTAAGTGAAATAACTCAGGAAGAGAAGACCAAACATCTATGTTCTAATAAGTGGGAGCTAAGCTATGAGGACACAAAGGCATAAGAATAATACAATGGACTTTGGGGACTCAGGGGAAAGGGTGTGGGGGGCGGTGAGGGATAAAAGACTACACATTGGGCACAGTGTACACTGCTCAGGTGGTGGGTGAACCAAAATCGCAGATATCACCACTGAAGAAATTATTCACATAGCCAGGCGTGGTGGCTAACACCTGTAATCCCAGCACTTTGGGAGGCCGAGGCAGGCAGATGACGAGCTCAGAAGTTCAAGACAAGCCTGGCCAACATTGAGAAAACCCATCTCTACCAAAAATAAAAAAAATTACCTGGGTGTAGTGGCGTGTTCCTGAAGTTACAGCTACTCAGGAGGCTGAGACAGGAGAATTGCTTGAACCCAGAAGCGGAGTTTGCGGTGAGCCGAGATCTCACCATGGCACTCCAGCCTAGGCAACAGAGCAAGACTCTGGACTCTGTCTCAAGCAAAACAAAACAAAACAAAACAAAACAAAACAAAACAAAACAAAACAAAACGAACTTTTTCATGTAACCAAACACCACCTGTTCCCCAAAAACCTATTGAAATAAAACAACAAAAAAGAAATGTCTATTCAAGTCCTTTGGCCACTTTCAAATTAGTTTTTGTTATTGAGTTATAGTTCTGAACATTCTTGATATTAATTCTTTATTAGGTATAAATCTGCTAATATTTTCTCCCTTTCCATGGGTTGCTTTTCATTCTGTTTATAGTGTCCTTTGATGCACAGAAGTTTTTAATTTTGATGAAGTGCAATTTCTCTATTTTTCCTTTTGTGGCTTGTGCTTGTGGTGTCACATTCAAGAAATCACTGTTAAATCCAGTGTCATGAGGCGTTTGGTCTATGTTTTCTTCTAAGAGTTTTACAGCTTTATTTCTTTTTCTTTCTTTCTTTCTTTTTTCTTTTTTTTTTTTTTTTTGAAATCTGCAAGTCTGTTTTATTTCCATTAGAAAAATATTATCCATATTAAATTTTGGTCCACTTTCTTCTCCTTAACCTCAAATTTAAACACTTAAATTTTACTCAAGTAGAAGCAGAATCACATACCTGATATGAAAACTAAATCATTCACATCATTAGTTTGAATTAGGTATGTTCTTGATTATTTCTCAGGAATAATTACTCTTCTTTCCCACCTGTTATTTCTCTTTTATTTATTAAGTAACTACGTAATGGGTATCTCTTTCCTATATTCAGTAATACAGGTGTAATGTAAAACAGTAACCGGATTCCTTCTCTAATCTTCAATTCACGTTTAACTCTCCCTATTATATGGTATTTCCATAATAACTTCAGATACTTTCATCAAGCTCACACTGTCATCAACTGTGAAAATTAAAAGGTTAATTAAGATGTTACATCAGTTGTAGATATTAAAATGTTGACAATTCCAGACTACAAAGCACTGGCCCACTTATAGTGATGCTGTTGTCAGCGGTGCTTGGACAGCTACTGCTTCACTTTCAATTCGGCTACCTTTGGGCAAAGCAGCAACTTGGTAAGCAGCTCTGGCAGGAAAATTACTCTTGAAATACTGTTTGTAGACTTCATTGACAGTATTGAAGTCATTTATGTCAGCCAGAAGAACAGCTGTTTTCACATTAGTGAAGTCATAGCCTGCAGCTTTCAGAATTTCACCCATGTTTTTAAGAGCTTGTTTAGCTTCTTCTGCTATCCCTCCTGACACAAGCTGTCCACTTGAAGGGTCCATGCCTATCTGTCTTGAAATGTAAATGGTCCTGTTGACTAACACAGCTTGACTGTAGGGTCCAATGGCCCCTGGAGCTTTTGCAGTGCTGATCACTCTTTTGATCAAGGATGACATGGCTAAGTCTTCCCTCTTGCAGCCCCTTCAGGAGAAGAAGCCCAGCACCAGCGCTGCTCGCCTCTCCTACAGCTTTATTTCTTATGTTTACGTTGGTGATTCATTTTGGTGAGTATAATGTAAGGTAAAGGTCCAACTTCCTTCTTTTGCATGTGGATATCCAATAGGAGCTTACATTTTTATGTGGATGTCTATTGAGCCACTGTTAGCATTTTATCACATAATGGGACCCCCTCCTTTGTCTTTCTCATTATAAATGGCCAACAATGACCCCAGCAATGACTCATACCAGTACTTAGAAGACTTAAGCTGTAACCAGTGCCTGAGCTCATGTCTTGTGGAGGTTTAAGCCAGCACTAACAAGTTGGCAGTGTCTTGGATTACCACTTTGCTTATAATAATATGGCAAAAGGTATCATTATTGGAATTGCCACAGTGGGTTCACCATTCAGACTTCTGGATGTGTTCATGCAGTCAAAATTTCTGAGACAGATGACCCTAATATTGAACTCAGTTCTAAGGTTCTTCATTCAGACAAGAATGACTATGTTTGCTACAGGAAAACTCAGAAGGAAAGCTGACTTGCATATTCAGCACAGAAATGCAAAGGAAAATGAAAAAGGAAAGGAAAAAAAGAATGCATATTCATGAAAAATTAAAAATATTTATATTTTCAGCAGTATTGCCAGTTTAAGAAGCTTTGCCAGCCCATGGAGAAAAATCCCTAAAAGGAACAATTGTGAGGTAACTTTCATATGAAATGCTGCTCTTATGTTCTTAATGCTTGTAATGGCATATCTGTGTAGGTTTTTTCACTTATTTTTGTGACTAAATTGGGTATTTTGGTGGTATATAATGGATTTCCAGGAAAAAAACCCTAAATCTATGACACCGGATCTATACCATGCATTGGATGACTATCATTCACTTAATTTCCTAAATTGAGGGTCATATATGTTTCAGTAATTTTTTTCTATGTATTTCCTGTATAGTTGAGATCATACTGTATACATATGCTTTCACTTTTCTTTTTCTCTTACTGTGTCTTAAACATTTTCCGATGCCACTGAAACTCTGCAAACATCCCTGCTAATGGCAGCCCAGCATTTCCTGATACTGATGCACCATGGTACTATGTGCAGCGTTCGTAACTCGGTAGTTTTCCAGTGTTTGTTTATTTCCCTTTTCAGTCCCATGGCACAGGGACCAATTATCATTAGGATCCTATTATCTTTACCACAAAGCACAGCAACCTCAGAAAGCCTTGATCAGTTTTTGTTTTTGCCCAACCCTTCCACATGCATTGCCAAGTCACTCGTGTTTGGGTGCCGTCAGGATACCGATTATGTCCACACCCAGACTGTGAGGTTTATGTTGCTAATACATCTATTTGTCTGTTGCAAAGTTCTAGATTGAGGGAGAAACAATTATTTGTCCCCCTTTCCCTTCAGTTCCTCCTTGCCTGGAATGATCTCCTTTTTCTTAGCACTGTCTCTGAATCGTCTCTTTAATTTTCAGTTTACTCTTCTAGTCTCACCAGCTCCATGAAGTTTTTTTCAACCACTCTCGCGCACATTAATATCTCCCTCCAGGGAACCGTCTCCACCTTCACTTTAGTACTTTATTGCCAATCATCTTGTATTATTCTTTGTTTCTTTTACTGTAGATTATAAGTGCATGAAGAGCAGAAATGCTTTTAGAATTCTTTTCCTTTCCTATGAGGTAAAGCACAGAAAGGTGACATCCAATAAATTCTAGCTGAATGGAGCAGAGTTGAAGTGCAAACGAATGTACTGACTAAAAGGCTAAAGTGAGATTTTCCTTTTTTAATGACAACAATACAATATTTGGCATATGTCCAATATCCAAAGTAAGAATTTAAACCATGTGATTTTATCATCATCTGAACTGGATATTAGTAAAAAAAAATTGCTACTTACTCAGAATTCGTGCAAACCCAAAGTCACAAATCTTGATTATTCCTTGCTTAGTTATTAGAATATTTTCAGGTTTTACATCTCTGTGAACACACTGTAAGATCATTATTTGATTATTTTTCTGAACCACCAAAATGACAAAGAATAAACATTAACTACTAGTTTAATAGATACACAGCCTATGAGATAAAAACAAATGTGGGCTTCCTTCACTTTTCTAAAAGAACTTAAATTGGCAGTTTTTTACTTGTAACTCTTGTCATACCCAAATTAAAACATTTATTAAAATATTGTTTTATTACTGAAATAATTAAAATTATAATTGTATGTGAAAACTGTCTTTTTTTTTTTTTTTTAAAGAAGGGATTATCAGGCTAGGTGTGGTGGCTCATGTCCATAATCCCAGCACTTTCAGAAGCCGAGGCAGGAGGATAACTTGAAGCCAGGAGTTTGAGACCACCCTGGGCAATGCACTGAGACCCTATCTCTACAAAAAAGTTAAAAAATTAGCCAGGCGTGGTGGCATGCACTTGTGGTCCTAGCTACTCAGGAGGCTGAGGTTGAAGGATCATTTGAGCCTGGAAGGTTGAGGCTGCAGTGAGCTATGATCACACTGCACAGAGCCTGAGCAACTGAGCTAGACCCTGTCTCAAAAACAAATAAATAAAAATAAAAAATTAAATTCAAGAAGAGAGTATCATACAATTCTTTCACTTTTTGCTAGTCCCTGTTTAAACTGTATGAGGTAAAACCTTAAATGAGATTAGACTCAGAGTACCTCTAATAACTGCTGCCACCCAAGAGTCACAATTAAGGTTGAAAAACTTGCAGATTTGAGAAATTAGGAAAACATTTAAATGATAACAAAAAGCAAAATTCACTTATAATTAGAATGACCATATTATTTATCATCCAAATCAGGAGACTTCCAAGTGTGAAAGAGGGGCCTATTAATAATCATGCCAGGACAATAGGCACAAACCAGGACTGCCTGGGTGAGGTGGGGCGCACAGTCCCCTACTTAGCAGAGATTCCGAAGCATTCCTCGACAGCGGATGGGGATCATTTCCCATCCTCACCACGGAGCTATCCTGGAACGATCAGCAACACTCCTGAGATGGCCCACGATGCTGTCAGAATCCCTACTGGGAAAGTGGGACCTGTGGCACGCTGACCTCAAAAGCGGCTTTTTTTTTTTTTTTTTTTTTTTTTTGAGACGGAGTCTCGCTCTGTCGCCCAGGCTGGAGTGCAGTGGCGCGATCTTGGCTCACTGCAAGCTCCGCATCCTGGATTAAAGCGATTCTCCTGCCTCAGCCTCCCGAGTGGCTGGGACTATGGGTGTGTCCCGAGTAGCTAGGATTACAGGCGCTCACCACCATGCCTGGCTAATTTTGTATTTTTAGTAGAGACGGGTTTCTCCATGCTGTTGTCCAGTCTGGTCTTGAATTACTGAGCTCAAGTGATCCGCCCACCTCTGCCTCCCAAAGTGCTGGGATTACAGGCGTGAGCCACCGCGCCTGGACCCCGCTATTCTTTCATATGCAGCGGCCTTACAATTTGCTGCCTAATCATAATGACCCTGAATGAAGCAGATGATCCTCGCCGGATAGGAGCGGCCTGGCTAGGGGCCTGGGTGAGGGCAGGCTGAGTAAGCCCGCGCGCGCCATGGGCATTCCAGAAATGGGTTTCCATGTTGCGGAGGTGCTGTGAGAAAACAGCTCAGACCTTTCCCTTCAGAACTTTCGGTTTATCCACGCTCCCAAAAGAGAAAATGGATGAAAATAATATCGATCTCCATCACTGGGCCCTCACAGGGAACTCTGTACTTTTCAAAGCACTTTCAATTCAAAGCATGAATTATTTCATCCTTGCAACAATCCTGTGATTGCAAGTGGCCACTGACAGAGTACATGAATTGAGTGTCACAATAATCAACTTCTTCTGCCTCCCTCTCTACTATGCTGTCAGGCCCTTTAAGCATTTTTGTCAATTTGACAATTGCTGAAATGGTTGCCTTTGGTTCTCTAATAGCTATCTAGGAAGAGAAAAAGAGCTGAGCCCTAAATTCATTTTAGGTTGCAGAAATGACACTGGTAGCAGGAGCTTGTTCCTATTTAGTCTCAATTACTGTCAACTGCTTCGTAATTTGTATGAAGAGCAGTTAGAAGAAACTTTTTTAGGTCTCTTGAAAGTACTAAGGCCTTAGACACTAATTAAAAAAAACACATAGGCCGGGCATGGTTGCTGATGCCTGTAATCCTTGCACTTCGGGAGGCCAAGTTGGGCGGATCGCTTGAGCACAGGAGTTTGATACCAGCCTGGGCCCAATGGTGAAAGTCAGTCTCCACAAAAAATACAAAAATTAGCCAGGTGTGTGGTGTGCGCCTTTAGTCCCAGCTACACAAGAGGCTGAGATGGGAGGATGGCTTGTGCCCAGGAGGTGGAGGTTGCAGTGAGCCAAGATGGCACCACTGCACTCTAGCCTGTCTGACAGAGTGAGACCCCGCCTCAAAAAAAAAAAAAAATTTGTTGGAATATAAATGAACATAGTTTTGATATCCTACCTTTTAAGCAACACACTTAAGAAATTTAGACTAACACTCTGAGTCAGTAACACTCACTTATAGTTGGTGATTACATTAGAACAGGTTACGTCCTTTAAATGAGTTTGCATCAAATTCTAGAATTTCTAGACTGTGTAGCATTACCAAGTAAATGGATTTACATCGATATCTGTCCATTGGCCTATACATATGTTTTCTGGATCTAATCCATGTGAAATTTATAGCACTTATTTTTCAACCAAATGTACAAAAGGAAATGAAGTATTGACATATCCCAAAGAAACAGGAACATTTATTGGTATAGGAGCAGGTAGGAGAAGTTACTGATAAAGAGTGAGAGGATACTGAAGAAATTTAAAAGGGAGTAAAAATAATTGGAACCTGGCTGGGTGCGGTGGTTCATGCCTGTAATCCCAGCATTTTGGGAGGCTGAGGCAGGCAGATCACCTGAGGTCAGGAGTTCGAGACCAGCCTGGCCAACATGGTGAAACCCTGTCTCTACTAAACATACAAAAATTAGCCAGGCATTGTTGTGGGTGCCCGTAATCCCAACTACTCGGGGGGCTGACGCAGGAGAATCGCTTGAACCTGGGAGGTGGAGGTTGCAGTGAGCTGCAGTTGTGCCACTGGACGCCAGCCTGGGTGACATAGCAAGACTCTTGTCTCAAAAGAAATAAATAAAAATTAAAAAATAAAATTAAAAAATAAATAATTGGAACCATAAGAAACAGGGCATGGGGGAGAAGAAGACACTTAGAAATACAGCATTCACCTACTCCACTGCAAAGTCACACTCAGTGCAAACTCTCTGCAATGCCTCTTGCAATCAGCTTATTTTCCCTCAAAGAACAAGAAGCATGCAAGTCTCTGTTAACAAAATAATTTTAATAAATTGAGTTTTATACACAGCTTTTAAAAATTATTTATTTATTTATTTATTTATTTGAGATGGAGTCGCTCTTTGTTACCCAGGCTGGAGTGCAGTGGCATGATCTCGGCTCACTGCAACCTCTGCCTCCCGGGTTCAAGTGATTCTCCTGCCTGTCAGCCTCCTGAGTCGCTGAGATTACAGTCGCCCACCACCACACCTGGCTCATTTTTTGTATTTTTTAGTAGAGATGGGGTTTCGCCATGTTGGCCAGGCTGGTCTTGAACTCCTGACCTCAGGTGATCCACCCGCCTCAGCCTCCCAAAGTGCTGGGATTACAGGCGTGAGACACCACGCTCGGCCTTGTACACAGCTTTTAGCAAACATTGCTCAGGTTTGATTGTTGTGGCTGATGGGCAATCTTTTTTTTTTGGCTCACAAGCGAGCCAAAAGAGATATCTATGGTATTTTAAAACTGACTTTTAACTTTAAAATCATCTCTGCAAACTTGCACACCAGAAATTGCTTCTTAAATAGCCTGATAAAAACAATAAATAGGTTTTTTTTATTATCTGATAAATTTATTCTCTTGGAGCCTTAGGCATGGATGCTCATACAGCGAGGAGAGAAAAGGGACCCCCTCCTCAACAACCAAAACATAAGGATCAACAAGATGCTGATGGAGGTTGCAGCCTGGCCTGCTCCTATCTCAGAAGTCATTTTTGCCAGCTGGGCATGGTGGCTCATGCCTGTAATCCTAGCTCTTTGGGAGGCCAAGGTGGGAGGATCGCTTGAAGTCAGGGGTTTGAGATCACCCTGGGCAACACAATAAAACTATCACTACAAAAAAAAAAAAAATTTTTTTTTTTAATTAGCCATGCATGGCAGCATGTGTAGGCCCAGTTCCTTGGGAGGCTAAGGTGAAAGGATTGTTTGAGCATGGGAGGCTGAGGTTGCAGTGAGCCGTGAAGCTGCCACTGCATTCTAGCCTGGGCAACAGACCAAGATCCTGTCTCAGGAAAAAAAAAAAAAAAAAAAGAAGTCATTTTTGCCATTTTGAGATGAAGCCCCTTTCCCCCTTTTCTCTAATCAATACAGCAAATATATAAAAATCCATAGGTTCATTATGGTGTTAAATGGATCACTTTGGTTACCTCACTCTAGTGATATTATAGGGTAAAACAGAACCAAATGAGTAGGTACTTTCTTAAGTCCTGCGCTTCTCCAAATTTAATGTGCACATGAACCACCTGGAGCTCTGGTTAAAATGCAGACTCTGATTCAGCAGGTCTGTAGAGGACCTCAGAGTCAGCATTTCTAACAAGCTCCCAGGTGATCTCTATGAACCATAGTTGGAGTAGCAAGGCCTGAATCCCTTGGTACTTTAACCTTCAGTGTCCTGCTTAGGATCTCGACTCTGGAGATGATAAGGTACACATGGTCTCTACAGGTTGAAAGCTGTGAGTCGTCAGCAACACCACTGGGTCAGACTGCCTTTTCTATCCTTTGACACTATCATGGGAGTTCCTTTAAAAATAAGGAGAGTATGAAGGTTTTAGTTGTATTATTGTGACAGCTTTATATATGGCTTAGATTTTTTTCTTTGCATGCATGTTAATTATAGATAAATAAAAAGACAGATACACAAAGGCTTACCATAAGAAAATGAGAAGGAATTTCCATCTTGGAGGATGCAAATTTGTCTGAAAAATTATTTTTTTTTTGAGACAGAGTCTTGCTCTGTCACCCAGGCTGGAGGGCAGTGGCCTGATCTTAGCTCACTGTAACTGCTGCCTCCCGAGTTCAAGTGATTCTCCCACCTCAGCATCCCGAGTAGTAACTGGGATTACAGGCATGCATTACCATGCCCGGAAAATTTTTGTATTTTTAGTAGAGAGAGGGTTTCACCATGTTGGCCAGGCTGGTCTTGAACTCCTCACCTCAGGTAATCTGCCCACCTCAACCTCCCAAAGTCCTGGGATTACAGGCATGAACCACCATGCCTGGCCTGAAAAAGTATTTGTTTTTAATAGAGGCCATATATTATCAATCAGAAGTTTTCGGTGTTTTAAAGCTTCGGGTATAGAATGTGTTGTTCCAAGCGCAGAAATGATGGCAGTTGCGTTGGTCTACAAAAATGTTTGGGTCCACTGGAAATAGTCACAATCAGTTAGGCAGTTTGGGTTGACTGACTGACTCATTCAACCAACCAACCATTGATCCATCCATCCATCCATCCATCCATCCATCCATCCATCCAGTTATTAAATAAATATTTATTGAGCACCCTTTATATAAAAATATCCAATTTAGGTATTAAAGAGATACAAAGATAAAGCAGCCACAGACATTGCATTCAAGCTTATAACCAAGTACCTGGAAAGTATCTAGTTATGTAGGGATAAACACTTGTGGTAAGTGGTATTTTTAGAAATCATTTTAACTACCCATAAAACTCCTGCAGCAACTTTGATACCTCCTGTAGCATGGTGGAAAGCAACAGAGATAAGGATTCCATTTGGCATCATCTTTATTAAGTATCAGAAAGCATAATTTGCATCATGAAAAATAGGTTTACATAGTTTGTGAAAAATATCCCTCTACATTAATAGAAAATAAAAGCTTTTGATTTAACCTAATAAAAACTTCACTGACTTTCCTAAAAGTAAAGAAAGCTTCCCCTCCATACTGAAATGTATTCCCATGATCTTATACTTTCTTTTTCAGCAATCCTAGACTGCTATGATAGACATTCTGCTGGCATCAAAACTGACCATATGGTACTCTGCATCATTGCCTCAGCACTGTCTCTGTCTAGGCACCAACTCAAAAGGGCTAGATACATTTTTTAAAAGCTATCACTGGCTGAGTGCAGTGGTTCACACCTGTAATCCTCGCACTTTGGGCAGCCAAGGCAGGAGTTTGAGGCCAGCCTGGGCAAGATAGTGAGACCCCCGTCTCTATAGAAACAAAAATTGGCTGAGTGTAGTGGCATGTGCCTGTAGTCCCAGCTACTCAGGGAGGCTGAAGTGGGAGAATCACTTGAGCTCAGGAGTTTGAGGCCCAAGTGCGCTATGATCACGCCACTGCACTCCAGCCTGGGCAACGGAGTGAGACTGTCGCAAAAATATAATGATATATAGCAAAGGTACCAGGAGCCAACTTGAAGAAGCTCTCATTGGCCTAAGATGGGAAAATCTGAGCATCGGAGAGACCAATAACAGCAAAGAATTGAAAACACCACAATACAAAATTTGTGTTTATAATGGTGCTCCAGCCACCTCTCCCCAAAACTTGTCACGGTTGCTAAGATACCAGCTCATCACCCTGAGTGTTGATAAGTAAAAGTAGCCAGAATCCATGAGGGTGAGTTCTTTTCCATACAATTCCAATTACTAAATGCAGAAGGAATAACAGAATTAGAAAATCACTGTCATGAAATACTAGATGCAGACAATCATCATCACTGGATGCTAAAACCACCAGGGAAACAACGTTGACAGGAAAAATGATAACGAGGGGACCAAACGAATACCTCCTGAGCCCACTCATCAATTATAATGTTCTCGAAAGTGGGACAAGTGGATGCTATACACTCACGATGGGGATGCGACAGGAAGTGTACAGCACCACATAGGAGGCATTCTTATCTAAAAGAAAGCTGAACCTGAATATGATCAAGCCTCTAGATATAAACTCCAATTTACAGGAAATACAAGTGAAAGAACAAGTTAAGTTACGTACAGGAAACAGCCAAAATTATTTCTCTAACATAGTCATATTCAAAGTGTGGTTCTTGAACCAGCAGCTTCAGTAGCATCTGGGAAAAATAGGAGACATGCACATTCTTGGGGCCCTACCTCAGACCTACTGAATCAGAAACTCTGGGGACGGGGCCCAGGAAGCTGTGTTTTCACAGGCCCTCCTAGTGATTTTGATGCATGCCCAAGCTTGAGAACTACGGCTATAAAAGATTCATGAACTTTTTTTTTTTTTTTTTTTGGGACAGTCTCACTCTGTCGCCCAGGCCGGAGTGCAGTGGTGTAATCTTGGCTCACTGCAAGCTCCGCCTCCCGGGTTCGTGCCATTCTCCTGTTTCAGCCTCCCTAGTAGCTGGGACTACAAGCACCCGCCACCATGCCCAGCTAATGTTTTGTATTTTTAGTAGAGATGGGGTTTCACCGTGTTAGCCAGGATGGTCTCAATGTCCTGACCTCGTGAGCTGCCCGCCTTGGCCTCCCAAAGTGCTGGGATTACAGGCGTGAGCCACCACGCCTGGCTGGAAACAGCTTTTAAAAAGGAAAGGAAAGGGGGACTTAGATTGCTATAGGGTAAAGGACTTAAGAGACATAAAAATAATAGTGAAAAAAAAAGTACCATGGGGGATTACACCAGCAATATCCTGAAAACTTACTATTATTACTTTTGGAGACAGGGTCTCACTCTGTCGCCCAGGATGGAGAGCAGTGGTGTGATCTCGGCTCACACCACCTCCACCTCCTGGGTTCAAGTGATTCTCCAGCTTCAGCCTCCCAAGTAGCTAGGATTACAGGTGTGCACCACCATGGCTGGCTAATTTTTATATTTTTTCATAGAGATAGGGTTTCTCCATGTTGCCCAGGCTGGTCTTGAACTCCTGAGCTCAAAGCCATCTGCCCACATTGGCCGCCCAAAGTGCAGGGATTACAGGCATGAGCCACCATACCGGCCCTGAAAAATTATGCTAGCCCAATTTAAAAATAGTTTCAGGGGTTACTGGCACTATGGCAAAAGGAATCACTACATTTATTCAAATTTTTAATTCATAAGGAATTAGCAATTTGATTCTTACAGAAATTGGAAAGAGTCATGAATAATGCATCCCTTTTTTCTCATATTTTGAACTTTCTTTTGTTATTTCCTTTTCTTCTTTTTTGCAGACAGGGTCTTTCCCCAGGCCGGTCTCAAACTCTGGGGCTCACTTGATCCTCCTACCTCTGCCTTCCAAAGTGCTGAGACTACTGGCTGAACTTCCTTTTGTTTTGCTTCTTTGACTCTTACTTTCCCTTTGTCTTCAGCTCTCCAAACAAAACCCTGAGCTCTTTAGAAGAGTCATCATGAAGAAATGAATAAATACATTAGAAAATGTTACTTACGTTATGTGTATGACAGAAATTAAGAGCTTGAAGTGTTTGCCATAATACACTTTTGATCACTCCATCAGCAACTCTGAGGGAAAAATAAAAAAGGAAATGAAAACTCATAGGATAGAGTTCCAGAAGCAAGGGTTGGGAATAGAAGTGGAGTGGCCAGGGACTGCCGTGTTCAAGGAACATCATGCAGAGGGATCCTAAAAAAAATTTTAGTGAAAATTGGGCTTTACTATCTTTTTATTATAGTTATGTAATTTCCTTTTGTGATTTGAATTTTTTACATCCACAAATGATACATGCTTATGAAGATTCAAAAAATAAAGAAAAGTAAAGGAATAAAATGTGTTGGGTCAAATCTTGCTACCCCAAAATAACGGCTATAACTTCTGGTGGCTGTCTCTTCAGGCAACTCTGTTCCTCTCTCTCCCTGTCTCTCTCTGTACTTTTTTTTTTTGGAGACAGGGTCTGGCTCTGTCACCCAGGCTGGAGTGCAGTGGCATGATCTCAGCTCACTGCAACTTCCTCTTTCTGAGTTCAAGACATTAGATTCTCTTGCCTCAGCCTCCCAAGTAGCTGGGATTACAGGCGCACACCACCATGCCCAGCTAATTTTTGTATTTTTAGTAGAGATGGAGTTTCGCCATGTTGGCCAGGCTGGTCCTGAACTCCCGATCTCAGATGATCCATCTACCTCACCCTCCTAGAGTGCTGGGATTACAGGTGTGAGCCACTATGCCCAGCCAGTATTTACTTTTTAACTTTAATTTTAAAATAAACACATTCGTATGGTTCAAATTTTAAACATATAAAAGTATATACATGAAGTTTCTCTGACACCTGCCTAGCCACCCATTTATTTTCTTCAATTTCACTCCGACCACTTTGAGAAACGTTTTATGCATAGAGGTACAAATACCAGCATGTACACACATATTTTAGTGGCTCCAGAGGAGATCATTATATGGCTGTAGCATAATTTACTTAGTCTCCATTGATGAGCAGTTCAGTTCTGCCAATGTTCATTTCTAGAAACTCTTTAATGAATAACTGTAATCATCCATCTTATGATATTTACGCAATTACCTTCTTAAGATAAGTTCTAGAAGTGGGATTTCTGAGACCAGTGGTAGGCACCCATTACATTTTGATCCTGCAGGGATGAAATTCAGGTAGACCTGAGACTTGGTTTTGCAGGAAAAAAAGGTATACTTGGAAGAGGGCTCTTCAATTCATCCAATCCATGTTGGTGGTAGAGACTCAAGTTATTTTGTAATAGTTTCTTGTCCCTGGTAAGCAGATAGCCCAAAAGGAGGCCAGGGAGAATAAGGATCTCATAAGACTGGGAGGGTGTAAGCTTCTTGTCCCTGGCAGACTCATCACTCTGTATAGAAAATATTGGGAAGTATCATGGGCAGGTGTATTTTCCACTGGGGATTGGGGATCTGGGAAACTTACTCTGTTTGCGAGTATTCTACTTTATGTAACCATCTCCATGAATTATAGCATTTACATTCTCTGTAACTTTTCTGTTGGTAGCTTTCCATCACTCACATCACTGTCCCATGATGATGCCTTCACATTTACACACTGTCAAACTACCCTTTCTGAGGAAGGTTATACCCATTTTCACTCCCACCAAACATCTGTGCATCAAAGTCCCTGTCTCCTCATTGTCTTGCCAACATTTGGTTTTGCCAATGTTATGTTTGCCAATCTGTGGTTAAAATAAAAAGATGTCTCATTGTGTTTTTTATTTGTATTTCACTAATTTTTAGTGATTATTATTTTTCACACCCTTATTGGATACTGCATTTCTTCTTTTGTGTAATTCCATTTCATGCGTTTATTGCTTTTTAAATTGGTCTGTTCACTGCTTTCCTACTGATTTACAAAGACTCAATGTATATCACGGTCTGTTATATATGCTGCAAATATTTTTCTCAGTGTTGTTTGTCTTTCAGCCCTGTTGACGGAGATGTGGCTGTTGTCTGTATATTTTTCAAAAATCTGAAACATAAGGGTTTCTTTTACTAAATGTCAACTATAAGAATTTTCTTAATTAAAAAAATCATATTATGTAATACCCCAAACATATCCATTACTCAGATTTAATATTTTATCATATTTGGATATTTAAATCATATATTTAGATCTGAACTGTGTGTTTTTTTTTTTAAAAAAACTGAACATGTGCAGATGTAGCTGACTTTACAGAACAGGGGGAAGGCCTAGGCATGACTCAGTTATAACACTAGCTACAAGATACCACCATGTGAGGCTGAAGTACATGCAGAGAAAAGCAAGCAATGTACATGGTACTTTCCTCAGAGCAGTTTCCTGATCTTGTACCACAATTGTGGTGGCATGCCCTTGACATCAGTGGTCCATTGGCAACCCTTTGACTCCAGTTGTCCTCATTATTAATATTGTGAATGTACCTAATTCTCATGATTAAATCCCTTTCCACTTGAAGTGTCTATTTCCAGCACTGAATTCTGATGTAACTGTATTCTCCCCACTTCACCTAGAGTCAAACCTGAAACAACACTGTTTACATTTTTAAAATATGAGGCAGGAAGAATAGTATAGCCATTTTGAGCACTGTGAGACAGGTCGCTTGAATTCAAATCCCAGATATGCTGCTTCCTTCCTACTTTATAATCTTTTTTTTTTTTTTTTTTTTTGAGATGGAGTCTTGCTCTGTCGCCCAGGCTGGAGTGCAGTGGCCCAATCTCAGCTCTCTGCAAGCTCTCCCTCCTGGGTTCACACTATTCTCCTGCCTCAGCCTCCTGAGTAGCTGGGACTACAGGTGTCGGCCACCACACCCAGCTAATTTTTTGTATTTTTAGTAGAGATGGTGTTTTACCGTGTTAGCCAGGATGGTCTCGATCTCCTGACCTCGTGATCCACCCTTGGCCTCCCAAAGTGCTGGGATTACAGGTGTGAGCCACTGCGTCTGGCATCTACTTTACAGTCTTGAACATATGCTATTTAAGTTCTCTGAACCTTCAGTTTTCCTCATGTGTAATAACAGATTAATATCTCATAAGTTTATGGAGTAATCTATCCCCTCAATGTCTGGTTTTAACACCCACATGGGTTCTGGAGATACAGGTCTGAGATCAGATAAGGCCAGTCGATGGGATTGAGACCCCCATACAAAGACGGAAGAGGTGCAGAAGAATAGCAAGAGGCCCCAAGGAGAGAAAGAACTGGGAGTGTGGGGAAGACAGTATGAGGCCAGGGTGGCTGACGCTTGAGTGAAGAAGACGGGAAGATTAGCAGAGACCAGTCCATGGATCTAGATCTAGATCTAGATCAGAGATCTAGATCTCGATGAGAAATTTGGATTTTATGCTAGATTCAAAACCACTGAAAGAAATCAAGCAAGGAAGTGACATAATATGGAGAATGGATTTCTGGGGGGCAACACACATAGAGAGAAATTAGGAGGCTAATTCAATAACCCAAGTGAGATTTGGACACTTAGATTATGGTGGCAGCAGTGAGAGGAAGGGAAATGGATTTCCATCCTTGGGAGGAACTAGCGAGAGTGGAGCACATGCTCCTACTGACGTGGGAACAGAACGCTGGTCTGGTCAGGATCTAAGAGCCTACAGGTGCAGGAGAGTAAGTACAGGAATTGGGAAATGAGGTAGGGGCTAGGATTCAGAAACTGCAAAGCCCCAATTATTAGCCTAAATAACATGGAATCAAGAATGAAGTAATTTCATAGGAAAGTAGTTTCATAGGATGTTAAAGATGCCTTTAACATGAAAGAGGATGTTTAAAGGCATCTCACAGGAAGTGTCACATTTGGTTCAGTTAGCTTCCAAGAAGGCAGATTCCGTCAGGGGCAAAACAACATCCCTGATCGTGCAAAGAGAAGATAGTCATCAAAGAGAACCACAAACCACCACTACAGATCGTGCAAAGAGAAGATAACCATCAAAGAGAATGCACATCCACGCGGTGCTCAGTCCAGAAAGATAGAGTGCTGCAGCACTGTTCAGCCACAGGCAGCATTTTTCAAAGCATCTTGGAGCAAAATGAACCTCTGGTGAAATCAAATGATGCTCATTGTTTAAATATTATATTTTGGGTGAGTGCAAAACCAAATATTTGATTGGTTCAAAAGTAATTGAGGTTCTTGCCGCTAAAAGTAATACTAAAAGTCGTAATGAAGGCCTTAAAGCAAACATGAGACATCACAGTTCAAGTCTGAATGGGTTAACAAGAAAGGGTAACATGATGGGGGAATTCAGACTGAACTGCTCGGAATACGCTCCTTGAATCACTCAGAGGAAGACCTGATGCTGACATCAGAAGTCACTACCTGGAAGTTTGTTATAAAAACTTAATAGGGGAAGCTTGATTTCATTATTACTACCTAAGATGAATTCAGTCCTTCTCAGTAAATCTTTACTATCCTAGAATAAAATCCAGCCTTGTTACTATGGCCTACCAGGCTGTTAATAACATTTTACTTCCATTTCCCTTCCCAACTTTATCTCCTATCACATCCCCAAAGTCAGTCCATCCCAGTCCATTATTTTTTCTGTTCTCTGAACATGCCAGGCTTATTTTATTATTTATTTATTTATTGAGATGGAGTTTCACTCTTGTTGCCCAGGCTAGAGTGCAATGGCACAATCTCAGCTCACCGCCACCTCTGCCTCGCAGGTTCAAGTGATTCTCCTGTCTCAGCCTTCTGAGTAGCTGGGATTACAGGCATGCACCACCACACCTGGCTAATTTTGTATTTTTAGTAGAGATGGGATTTCTCCATGTTGGTCAGGCTGGTCTCGAACTCCTGACCTCAGGTGATCTGCCTGCCTCGGCCCTCCAAAAGTGTTGGGATTACAGGTGTGAGCCACTGTGCCTGGCCCCCCAGGCTTATTTATAACTTCAATCAGGCTGTTAATAACATTTTACTTCTATTTCTATATTCACTTCTTTTTCTACTTCTATTAACAGTTTATTGTTCCTTCTACTCTCTTTTGGTAATGAGTAATTTTCTGTGTTAACTTGACTAGGTTAAGGGATGCCCAGAGAGCTGGTAAAACATTATTTCTG